GGAGTCCTAGTTATTATTAATAAAAAATTGTGAGTGATGGGGGCAGGCTGGTCTAATTTCAGATCAGCTTCTTCTGCCTCATGTAGGTATCTGAGTGGTCTCTCTCTCCCCTCCTCATAAGGGGTAAGCAGAGCACTTCTCTTAACATCACCTACCTGTGCTCACTGTGTTGTTCCAGTGGAAAATAAACTATGTGTGAGTTGACACAGGATAAAGGAAATTCAGCTGGAGGTTCTAGGGAGCACAGGATTGCAGTAAAGTTGTTTGTCTTTTAAAATTGTTTACTGCAAGTTGTTATTTCATGTTTTCACTTAAAAAAAATATATATCGAGCTTGACAAATTTACAAAGAAGGTTAACAAAAAACCACAACAAAATCAAAATGGACATTTTGGGGACAAGGTAGCACTGGGTTTGCCGTGTTGGGCTGTTGTCCCCTGGAGAACCAGGTTTCGGCTGGTGTGAGCATCAGTCAAGGTTTGGGGAAGACCATCTTCCTGCAGGTACAGGTGCATCCACACTTCCTGCAAGAGTTGTAGCCTGTCTGTGTATCTTGCCTCCCCCAACAGGTATGAGGAGGAAATCAATCGGAGGACCAACGCTGAGAATGACTTTGTCGTCCTGAAGAAGGTGAGGGAAAGAGTCCAGCGCAGGACTTTGGCTCAGGAGGCAGAGCACAGCAAGGAGTCTTACACTTCATACCATCTGGAGATACAGTTTTTGATTTTTAATGAAGACAGCTCTTGAGTGTCAACTGTGCTTGGTCTTGGGTCCTGGGGTGAGACAGCGTGCTATCGTGATGTTTGATATCACACCTCCGTATTCTCCAGAGTGCCAGGGCTTGCAATGTAAACAGTTAATGCTGGAGGTTCAAGTCCATCTATAGGTACCTCAGAAGAAAGACCGTTTTGAAAAATCAGCCATTAAACCACAGGTGGGACTGCCAGAGTCAGAGTTGATTTAATAGCTACTGGTTTGGTATTTTGAATATATTTGAGTGAGGCAGGGAAGTTGTCAGGTGAAGAGACAAGCCCACAGAGTCTCTGCCACTTGCCCTGGGTCACACGGTGGGCTGTGGCAGGTAGTGACTGGACAGTAGAGTCACACTGTCTTTGTTTGCTGTCTAGGATGTGGACTCTGCTTTTGCGGACAAAGTGGACCTGCAGCATAAAATGGAAGCTCTCTTTAAGGACACTGAGTTCCTGAAGTATTTATATGAGACCGTGAGTTCTGCTTTCATGAGGAGCGCCTTTCTTTTCTCATGTCTTACCAGGTGCATGGACTGTAAGTGGGGGAGGTCTGAAACCCATATTATCAGGGGCCTAGCCCTGCTGGAGTTACACCTTTTCTGAGTCCCCAGTCCTCAGGATTCCTGAATAGGGGCAGAAAACTAGGGAGTAGGAGAAGGTAAAACAGTCTCTGCTTCATTGCACCTAGGGCTGTCTGGAAAATGATGATATAGGGGCAAAGGCACCCAGAAATCTATAAATTGGGGGCAGCTTTTCTGAGATAAATACACTCTTCATCAGTGCTGGGAAGTGGATAGGGCTACAAGGGGACTTATTAGAAGATGACAGTGGAACTTAAAGGGAATGAAGACAAAGACTGGAGCAGTAAGGGATAATAAATGGTGTCCTGGTGTAGCACTGTAGGATGAGCACTGGACTGCTAACCAAAAGATTGGAGGTTCAAATCTACCAGCTGCTCCTCGGAAACCCTATAAGGATCGCTATGACTCAGAATCGATTCAAAGACACTTAACTACAAGAAACAACTATCATGCGTCCTACTGATACCCATGTCTAATGTGAGAACAAGTGCCAGCTGCACTGCTAGGAGCTTTACATCGTGTCCATTCTACAGATGAGGAAACTGATGTGAAATTACTGGCATGGCCACATAGCGTATCCACATCGTGTCCATTCTACAGATGAGGAAACTTTGTTGTGAAATTACTGGCATGGCCACATAGCGTATCCATAGTAGAACCAAGTTTAAAGACTGAGTCTGAGTGATTCCACAAATGAGACTCCTTCCTACTGCTCCTGAGGCACATGGGAGGGAAAGTGTCATGTGGCTTCAAGAGGCATGTTTGTTCTGTTAGAGAGCTCAGGAGACCGCCAAGTGGGACAGCAGGTACAGGAGGGGACACTAGAGGGAAGTGGCATCTACAGGGCTTCTGAGCTTGAGCTCCTTCCTTCTTCCTGGAGGTTAGGTCTAGGCCCCATTTAGCTAAGCTAAGTGAGGGCAACAAATCAAAGAACTTTCACTTAGAACTCCCACTTGGCCTAAGCTTCTGATTTCCCCAGTGGTCTTGAAGGGCATTTGAGGGAAACCAAGGTCCTGGCCAAGTTGAGTTGTGGTGTTGGAGGAGAATACTGAAAGTGCCATGGACTGCCAAAAGAACCAATAGATCTGTTTTGGAAGAAGTGCAGCCAGAGGCCAAGATGGCTAAGCTTTGTCTCTCATACTTTGGACATATTGTCCGGAGGAAACAGTAGCTAGAGAAGGATGTCATGCTGGGTAAGGTGGAGGGTCAGAGAAAAAGAGGAAGACCCCTAACGAGATGGATTGACTAGATGGCATCATTGATGGACTCAAGTGTGGCAGCGGTAGTGAGGTTGGCCCAGGATCGGACATTGTTTCGTTCTGCTGTGCATGGGGTCACTATTAGTCAGTTCCGACTCGATGACACCTGACAACAACAACAACAACAAGGTCCTGGAGGGAGGAGTGTGGAAGGAGTCATTTGTGCTCTGTACCTCACAGGAGCTGTCCCAGATGCAGACCCACATCAGTGACACCAACGTCATCCTGTCCATGGACAACAGCCGCTTTTTGGACCTGGACAGCATCATTGAAGCGGTGCAGATGCAGTATGAATTGATTGCACAGAAGAGCAAGGATGAGGCTGAGAATCTGTACCAAACCAAGGTGAGCATTGGTCTCAGACTTGGTACTCAGAAACCAAACAGATGCCCCTAGAACTGACTTTAGAACTAAGAGAACAACACTGCGACGCGTGTTTGTATTGGGAATGTGAGAAATTACTGATAAAGATTACCCATAATCCCACTACCACTACAAATAGGTCAGTATATTTCTACCAGTTCTTTGTAACTAACATTTAGGGAGAACTCCTGTTATCAGGCACTGTGCTAAGTGCTTTGTGCATAATATTATTTCACTGACTGCTTACAACAGCTCTATCAGGTAATGGTTTTATTATCCCCACTTTACAGATGATAGAGTGTGGGATGACAGAACTTCTCTAAGGTCTTGTAGCTAGTAAGTAGTTGAACTAGAACTTAATTCAACTCAGGTGGGCATCTACTAAACTCATACTCTTAACCACTAAAATGTTAAACTATTTTTTTAGAATGGTGTCTCTAAAAATAAGGAGCTCTGGTAGCGTAGTGGTTATGAGTTGGGCTGCTAACCTTAAGGGCAGCAGTTTGAAACTACCAGCTGTTCCGCAGGAGAATGATGAGAGTTTCTGCTCCTGTAAAGATTTACAGCCTCTGAAACCCTATACAGGGTTGAAATGAATCAGAACTGACTACACGGCACATAACCACTATCACCACCATCTTTAAAAATATAGTTTGTGCTTTTCTTTTTCACTTTTTACCTATCAGTAGTTTTCATTGTATTAATTGTTGTACATCAATATTCATAGCAGCAGTTTCTGGGCACATCTTTGTCTATTTCCTTAACATAAATTGGCCTGGGTATTTTTGGACAGTGAAGACTGTAATTGAAAGATCAATTAGCTGGTCACTGAATTCTGAACAGTGAGTACTTAGTGATCTGCTTTGAGCATTACCTGGGACAAAGCACACTCCTGGCAGATCTTTGTTCCACTGTCCTGTAGACAGGTGTTTCAGGGATGGAATGGATGTAAGTATCAGATGAGGGAGTTACATAGTAAGGAAATCAGAATGCAGAGAGTCCCTCAAGCCAACGCTCCCTGGGGCCCCTTTCACAGCCATTTGGCCTGGGTGGAGCTCTTTGACTGATGGAGCAATAGGGACTCTAAGTAAGAGGTGGAGGAAAGTGCTCCATCTAAAGGTCTCTGAGCAAATGAGGTCCTGACTGCTAAATAAAAAACGTCTTGGAAAAGGAAAGGAGGAAATTTGGTGAGGTGGGCATAGTGAGGGGCCTCCAGTATGCATAAGGTCAGGTGTGGAGCTTAGGCATGTGCAAAAGGTGATAAAAAGGCATCAAGGAGCAGGTTTGTCCTATTGGGATGTGGACCTGCCTGAGGGAATGATGGGAATGAGGGAGGCTTGATACAGATGTGTGTGTAGGGAGGGGAGGTTGCAGCTTATGTGACAGAAGTTTGGTATAGGTGTCTGTGTGTGTATGTGTGTGTTGAATCACTGATCTAGGTGGGCTGATTCTGTTTGGGATCACAGTTCTAGGTGGGCTTATTATGAGAGCCACCTTGGGCAGGATCTGGAAAGGCATAGGTGCTGACTATGATACTGTCATTGACTCTTAGTACCAGGAGCTCCAGATCACAGCTGGGAGACATGGAGATGACCTGAAGAACAGCAAGATGGAGATTTCTGAGCTCAACCGAAACATCCAGAGGCTGCAGGCAGAAATTGGCAACGTCAAGAAGCAGGTGGGATGGGTGCTCAGGGTGGGCCCGCTGTGCACTCCACGATGCCCTGTCAGATTCCTGACACTCAACCTCTGCATGTTTTTTCCCATGTCCGTCTGGCTCCTGAGCAGATTGAGCAGATGCACTCAGTTATTTCGGATGCTGAGGAGAGAGGAGAGCGGGCCCTCCAGGATGCCAAGCAGAAGCTGCAGGATATGGAGGAGGCCCTTCAGCAATCCAAGGAGGATCTGGCCAGGCTGCTGCGAGACTACCAGGAACTGCTGGGAGCCAAACTGTCCCTGGATGTGGAGATCGCCACCTATCGCAAGCTGCTGGAGGGAGAGGAGAGCAGGTGGGACTGGTGGGGAAGGGAGTGGGGGACAACCAGGCTTCTGGGCCAAAGCTCAGAATGCACACCTGAAGCAGTAGGACTGACCTGAGAGAAAAATCCCTGCTTTTCTGGGAAGAAGAGTCCATCCCAATCTAGCCTAGGGAAGCAAAACATGCAAATGGCAAACTGGGGGTGCACTAGGTGGTAGGGTCATTGTCATCATCCCTCTGTCTCTAAGTAGAATGTCCCCATACCTTAACTAAAGCCATTATAGTGGGTGGTGATTTCCAATACTAAAGGACTTCAAGAAAATTCTTAAAGTGCCCCCTGGCTCTACTGACTCCCACACATTTTCCTAAAGTTTGGGGACAGCTCTTTCTTCTTTCAGAAGATAGTATCTACATCTTAACTACATCTCCTCGTAATGTGATATAGTGTTACTATTGTTATGTGCTGTCCAGTCAGTTCTGACTCATAGCGACCCTCTATAGGGTTTCTGAGGAGTGGCTGGTGAGTTTGAACGACCTACTTTGCAGTTCAAACCAACCTTGCTGCAGTCCCAGTGCTTATCCTACAGCATCACACCAGGGCTCCCTCCAGGTGATCGATATATAAGAATCTTGTCAAAATGGGGATCTTGTTAAAATGTAGGTTCTGATTCAGTGTGTCCAAGTGGAATTGTAATTTCTCAGCAAGGGGCCAAGGCAGAATGTTACTTTGTTGCTTTTGGGCTTTGTGAGTCTCTCTGATGTGCATTTTGGTTTTGCAGGATGTCAGGAGATGTGCAAAGTCAAGTGAGCATCTGTAAGTAGCAGAGCCCAGGCACAGGGCTGGTTGGTGCTGGGCAGGGGAGGGTCAAGTGAGGTTGCCAAGGGAGCCAATATGGAAAGCCTGGTATTCTAACTTCCAGTGTAATGAAATGAAAACCAAACACAACTACAAAGCCTGCAAGAATTCCTTTAAAAATGAAGTGCTAGGATTTCAGTTTTGTGTTATCTCAATTTTTTATGATACCCAAAAACCCCTAGGAAATGAGCCTTGGTCATACAAATCTACTAGCTACTCTCCAGAGGAAGATGAGGCTGTCTGCTTTTATAGAATTATAGTCTTGGAAACTATATGAGTCAGAATCGATTAGATAGTTGTGGGTTTTTTATTTTTATAAAGTAAAATAGTTAAGTGCAAATAGTTAAGCCAAAAGGTTGGGGCTTCAAACCCACCCAGAGGCATTTCAGAAGACAGGCTTCTGAAAGGTCACAGACTTGGAAAGCCTATGGGGGCAACTCTATTCTGCACACACAGGATGGCCTGGAGCCTGAATTGATTCCAGGGCAACTGAGAACAACACTATGACAACAATCATTAGTGCCTTACAACTCTCTGGTGCTGTTGTTGTTGGGCGCCCTCAAGTGCCCCAGGTTCTTTATGGGAGTGGGTTATCAGGTCATTTTGGTTGGCAGCCAAGTGCTTAATACCTTGTGCTACCAGGGTTCCTTGAGTATGTCAACAAACACTGAAAACGTGCTGCTTAAAGGGAACCTGCAACTCCTTTGTAGTATGAAGAGTTTTTTGCACATGGGAATACTCTCAGCTCCCAATGTATCCGCAGGTCAGATACGATCAGTGATTGAGCTTGTGGAGGGCTGTTTCACGGGGATGGGTGCAGGATAGTCCCGCTCGCCCAGTCCTTCTAAAGTCCCTCTGCCTCACAGCTGTGCAGACCAGCCAGGTGACAGTCAGCGGCGGCGGCGGTGGCGGTGGCGGAGGCAGCAGTGGCCGCAGCTCTGGAGGCTATGGCGGAGGCAGCGGCAGCGGCGGTGGCAGCGGCGGCGGCAGCGGCGGCGGGGGCAGTTATGGCCGGGGATCTCGAGGGGCCAGTGGAGGTGGATTCAAGACCAGCAGCAGCACGAGCTATGGCGGAAACAGCAACAAGTATGGGGGGAGGAGCGGCGGCGGCTCCTCCCGCGTGCAGATCATCCAAACTTCTACCAACACTTCCCGCAAGCGCATCGTGGAGTAGTGACAATGGCCATGTCCCGCATCACCTCTCAGACTCCGGATTTCCTGCATAGACCCTCTCCTGTCTTCTTGTCTCCTTGCCCTTCCTGATCCCTCACACTTACTTTTTCCTGATGACTCTCATCAGTGTTGCCTATCAATTCAGCTAAGGATGGAGAAGCAGGGAGGATAACCCCCAACAACAGTTCTTTGGAGGACATGCTTGCAGTCAAAGTCACAGGCACATTCTCACCCCTCTGAGCCTGTCACTGTGGACATCCAGGGGTCCAGTTTAGTGATGGAGAAAATGAGCCTGTAGCACATTTTCAGGGGTTCCTCACCTTCACACTCCCTTCCTGTTATCAGGGCAGCTCAGAGAGTGATAATCCATCCCTCCAACACCCAATCAAACAACTTACCTTCAAGTCAATTCTGACTCCTAGTTGACCCGTGGGATAGAGTAGAATTGCCCCATAAGGTTTCCAAGGCTGCAATTCTTTACAGAAGTAGATAGCCACCTCTTTCTCCCATGGATCTGCGGCTGGATTTGAATGACCAACTTTTTGGTTAGCAGTTGAGTGCTTTAACCACCATGCCACCATGGCTCCTTTAATCCATTCCTCAGAGACCACAGAATATTTGCTTTAAGTGAGCAGCTGATTGCTAGGTGTGCTAATGCTCCGTACAGGGGGTGCTCTGTACCAGGGGCCAATTCCTGGCTCTTGGTTGTGAGTCTTATACTTCAGTTGATGGGGAATAAAAATTTGCTGCCTACATGAGACATCTGGAAATCATATCTGGTCCTGATTCTGTTTCTTTATTTAAAGAAGCATTATCCCCTGGGTTAGAAGTTCTAGGTGGGAATATTTTAGAGGACTCTGGGGCATGAGTCCTTGTCCACAGGGAGGATTATTCTTAGCAGTGGATGGACAAGCAGTTAAGTATGGCTTCTGTCCTGCCCTCTCCTCACAGCTCCATTCTTTGGCAGCTTGGTTCTTCCTGTTCAGTACTCCACAACACTGTTCTGGGAATTGCCAGAGTGGGTGGGTACATGAACCCCGCTCTGCTCTGTCCAGATGTCCAGGGCCTGAGGAGTCTGAGGATCCAGCTTCAGTCTTGTAAAGGTTCCAATCTTGAACCAATCTGAAAGCTGCTGGTGATTTGCAAGTCCGTTTGATGCTTTTCCTAGACCTTTTGTGTCCCTCTGCCTCCTTCTCTTTGACTTTTCAACAATTTGTGAGAATTTGACTCCAAGTCGTGTTTTATGCTTGAGATGTATTGGAGGGGACAGAATGGGGAAAATACCAATCAAGTAATGGGCTTTCAGAAAACAGTGGCTTTGTGTGTAAGAACTGGAGTCACCTTCATTTGCTTGTTGAGTCCTAACACAACGTCCACGTCCATGAGGTTGGGACATTCTCTTGGGGCATCTGATGGGCTCAGTGTGGGGCCCTTGGGAAGTGCTCATGGCTTAATTTTCAGGTTAAAGTTTGTACCTTGAAGGGTTTGGCAATTTTGGTGTTTCTATAATAAAATGTTCTGAGATAGCAAAACTGCTGTTTGGTCAGGCGATGATTTATTTCTTCTTTAACTTCTGTAGGCTTTTCATGTTGTCACATTTGGGAACTTTGCAGTACATTATTTTTATTATTGTTCAAGTCGTACACACTTTTGAAGAACCTTACAGACATAATCTCACTATAATCCTTGAAGTGAGACTGGATGGCCAGTCAAAAGTTTATTATGCATTTATTCAGTTGGCACTTATTAGGCCCCTTACTATGTGGCAAGGTGCCTAGCTACTGTAAACGGTTTGTGCTTGGCTGCCAACTGAAAGCCAGTCAGTTTGAATCTACCAGTGACACTGCAGAAGAAAGTCTTGGTGATCTGCTCCCATAAAAGTTGCAGCCCCCCAAAAAACACCCCTATGCCACTCAATTCTACTCTGTAACCCATGGGGTAGCCATGAGTCATAAATGACTCACTGACAAGGAGTTTTGATTACTGTGTGGCAGACAGTGTCTTAGACAGTGGAAGTGCAATGTTGAATGAATACATTTCTGAATCTCAAGGCACTCACAACCCAAATGGTTTACCATGGGGAAAGGAAAGTTCAAATACTGTGGAGAAGGAGAAATGAGAGTATGTGCCTGGCCTATCCTGAGGACACAGGCAGAACCATCAAAACAGGAGCAGTGAGATTTGCAGCAGGTGTTAGTGATAGGGAAGGGGAGATTGGTCCTAATGAACTGGAGAGCTGGAATGTGCAACAAGACTGAGGGCACATGTAGGCAGGAAAATGAGGGAGGGTGGGCACTATTTAGCCTTTCTGGTACCAGGGTCATAGAGGCTAGTCCTTTGGACTAATTATTTCCATGTGTCTTAGTTTTTTTGAAAAGTCATATTCTAAGTAGCAATTGTTGTTGTTAAGTGCCATTAAGTCAGTTCTGATTTATAGTGACCCTGTGTAGGGTTGCCAAGGAGCGACTGGTGAGCTTGAACTGCTGACCTTGTGGTTCAAACCAACCTTGCAGTCCAACACATTAACCCACAGCAATAGTTTAATCTCAGTAGTATATATGAAATGAAATGTGTGTCCAACATCACACCTCTTTCAGTGTTGAAAGAACAGCCTAAATATGGAATTTAGAAAAGTAATCATACTAAAGAAGAAGCAGAGACTGTATGAAAAAATTAAAAATTATTACTGTCAAAACTAATCAAATCATTAACTGTAGACTCAGAGAACTTGAGTCTTGGTTGAAGGAAAAGAAAGTAGACCTTTTATATATTCTTTTTCTCTTTTTTAAAAGTTTTTTTTTTATTACAAATTGAGTGAAAGTTTACAGGGTTGATCATCTGTTTTGCATTCAACAAATCATATACTTTGTTTCATTACAATGGCTATAATTCCCTCCATATACCATCAGTTAACAGTATTTCTCGCTATTCATTTTAGCTCTATTTTTTTTTTTTTTAAACACTCAGGCATATATAATAATTTAAACCACCAAAGGGCACATTCTGCAAGTCTGCCTCCTGGCCATTGCTCTCAGTCTCTCTCTTCCCACGAATTTAAAGTCTTCAGCTGCTCCCTCTCTCCATGTCCCCATCTCTGCCTCCATCTCTGATGTCACTGCTTTTCTGGATAAGGTCCTGCATTCTGCTTGTGCTCTTCTCCCTTGATGGTCCTAGGGTCCTCTGTTTCTAGACTGTAAGGTTAACTACTCCTCTGCTTTTGTTACAAAGCTTCTACCTTTACAATTATGACAGTCACAATTAGTCATGATAACAATTACTCATTATTGAATCATAAGAATCTTATCCCCATCTCTTTTTACCAGATCCATCTAGACAAGATGAAAACTATTCAGTGGGGACTCTATCTTCCCCCCACACTCTTAACTAAGCTCCCTCTTGAAACCTTGTAAGCCAGTCACTTCGTGCCTTTATCGTCCCCTCATTTTAGATAGCCAATGTCTAAGTTGCCCATTCCCATCTATCCTGTATACAGAGGGGATGCCTTTGGACATTTATATATTCTTATTTGATGCAGAATGAAAACTAGTCATATTGTAAAAGGACAAAATGTTGTATGAACCTTAGAGGAAAAGAAACAATCTTTAAGAAAAGATACATTTCAGCCTTTCCACTAGCAGGGGAAACGACTATTAGGTTACATAGTCAATTACTCTAGAACCATCTCCTTCACAATGCCAATAGTGACCTTTTCAATAAAAAAAATACAATAAAAGGTAATAATATTATTTGTGAGTAAAATATTACTGCCTAAAGTAAACCAAGTATTGGAATGTAATATCGATCAGAAAAATTTTATTGCTTAGCTTACTTGTTACTGTTAAGTGCCGTTAAATCAGTTCTGACTCATAGTGACCCTGTATAGAGTTTCCAAGGAGCGACTGGTGGGTTTGAACTGCTGATTTTGTAGTTAGCAGTCCAGTGCTGATTCTACAGCATCATACCAGGACTCTTGCAGCTTATTTAAGGTTGTTAAAAACAAACAAACAAAACCTTTTTGCCTGATTCTCATATTTATATGCTTGATATCACTCATAGTGATCACTACTGCAGCAAACTGTATTTTAGAGTTCATCAGTCTTACTCTTATGATAAACCTAAGATGACAGTGAAAGCAATTGCTATAACCTTTAAATTTCAGTGAAACAAACACCCTCAGGGTCCAATTATTTGTAAAATGCAGCCAGACCAACGAGGCCAACATACTAGTGTACATTTTAATTATTATTAACAGCAAAACACCTGGAATATCCACTAACAAATGCTTTCATCAGATTGTACATTAATGTCTTTTTTAAGAAACAATTTTTAAAAACTAATTTATAGTTCAACGACAGGCAAACATGAAAGATATCAAATATCTTATTTATCTTTACTTTTTCCAGTGGAGTCAGGTACAGGTGAAACCTTATTAATTTCAACAAAAACAGATTCAAAGACAGTTTCCTGTTCATCCAAAGTATCAGGAGCAGTAGTTCATTTCAGTAGTGCTGTGTTGGTAAGAGACTGTTGTTGCTTGGAGAGTTTATTCTGTTTTTCTACCCCTTTTTTTTAGCCAAGAATTTTGACACAACAGGTATAAGTCCTGTTGTTTGGCCATCAAGACTAACCTGAAGCCAACCACACACTTTGGGCTGTTGTTCTTTGTTAACATATCACCAGCATAGAAAGAAATTTTATCTTCAGATATGGCAGCAAAGTCATTTTCTGTTGAGGCAACTACATAGATCATCTTTACCACTTGCCCAGTTGATGTTGTTGGAAAGTGGGGCTGGACCCTGGTCTCAGCCCTCACACTGGAATGTGTCAGGTTTCCTAGGGTTTTGGGGGGAGGCGGTAGCAAGGACACTATTTCCTTCACTTCTACTCTGCTCCCTCTCTTTGCCTCTCCCCATCTTTAATTGTCTTTACTTTTCTTACTCTGGTAGCGTAGTGGTTATAAATTGGGCTGCTAACCTCAGGTCAGCATTTCAAAACTACCAG